TCTTACTCTTCCCTCCCTCCTCCCGCCCTCTATTCCTTCCTTCCTTCGTTCCTTCCTTCATTCCTTCCTTCCTTCCTTCCTTCCTTCCTTCCTTCCACCCTTATCATCTTAGATTACGCTATTTAATTATTGGGAATTTTCAAGCTTCTATTCTTTCTATTAGCTAAAGAACCAGCCCATCAACACTTCATGAAGTCGGATCCAAAGAACTTCCTTTTTCAGGACACAGCTAGCCAGATGCACATCAGCATGTCTGCATCACTTCCCTCTCAAGCCACCAGGGCAGGCGTGGGTAGGCCCAGATGGATGATGTCCACCCACTGTGTTATGTCTTAGGTGTTTCAGGAGATACACGTTGAGCTGAGGGCACCTGCTCTTTTTATAATAGGCAATAAGCATGTCTATTCTGTTCCACAGCAACATCTCCCAAAACTCTTCACTGTACAAATATTCAAGTTAAGAATGGCCAGGAAGAGGATAGGCAATGCCTCCCTAGTAAAATGTGCAGAAACACAAGAGACACAGGGAGAATTTCCTTCCAACAACAGTATAAGGTTCATGAGTTATTTTATATGCCTCTGTCAATATGAAATCCTAAAGACAGAGATCCTGTGTACATTGCTATACACAAAACACATGGAAAATAGATTTAGACTTTATAATCTATAATCTCCATATCTGATATTTCTTCCCTGAGTTACCCTAACCAGAGTAATCTATATTAGTATCTATTTTCTCAACTATGGAATGTGACTAATAAACAATGCCTCTCTACTGTATTGTGCTGAGCCTGTAATGTAAGTTATCAGTGGTGCTGAAATTCTCCAAGGCTTACCTGGAGATGAGATGGGGAACCGCTTCTTCCTCATAGTGATGACTCTCACACTTATATACCGGCCCAGGCTCTTCCTGTCCTGGTCCCTCTTCCCACTGTCTTCATAGGCATGTGCACCAACACTGAACCATGTTGCTTTTCCAAGGTGGAGCCTCTTCAGGGTCCCTGAACATTTCCATCCAATTGCAATGGTCTCACAACAATTATTTATTTTCATAACAAGTGTTTCATAATCTCTCCTTTAATGCACTGAAATTCATATATAATACTACCAAACTATACTCAGATTTTGAAAACAAGAAGATATTTAACTATAATGTGAAATATATATAATTAAAAATAAGTTCTATTAAATCCATATGGACTTCAACATGTAAATGGCAGGCATGGCTAGACTGAAGACTGCGCAGTGTTATCAGAGGTCTGCACCTGCACCAAGTTCTGTCATTATGACAGCTGTAAGCCACACAGGTTCACTGTATTGGATGCAAATACCGTGAGGAATATTACCCTCAGTGGTTTGATTTTTCAAAAAGGGTAAAACTCTGTAATTTGCCAAGCAAACTGAAATATAATTATCTTTCCACTCTCATAGTTGATGCATTTTTGGAAAACTCAGTGCACACTTACATCACACAAAAATACTGTGTTGTACGTAAAAAGTAACTAGATGCTAGGCAGATTTTTCATTTATATGAAAGTCTCTGCTATGGGGTGTGACATTCTAGTTTTTTGTGAAACACAGCTAATTCTCCCTTTAAATTTAAATGTCCTACAAATTGCAAGATATGCCCAGAAAACCTGGACCCAACCAAAACAAGACAAAACAAACAGAACAAAAACATTCTCATTAATCACCAGCACTGTCCCTGAAGGGCAATGCCACTCCCATTAACAACTTTGCTGAAGGTCAAACTCCTTTTATTCTTAACTCATTAGTCTCCTAATGGTCTTTTCAATGTTACTCTGATAGTCATTAATTTATTCTCTACCAAAGACAGACTGTTTCCCAAACCCAAACTGTGCACCTTCTATCAATCTGGATTCTCCAGAGAAACAACCAGTGGAAGATATATGAATGTATAGACAGACAGACAGACAGACAGATAGATAGATATGATTACAGATCATATCTGTTGAGGAGCTGTAATCTTCCCCCGACCCCAAATGCTTTGGGAAGTTATAAGGTCCTTTCAGAAAATTTTATGCTAGACTTTTCTGTTGCCAATGTTACACTAAAAAATACTGAACAACTGTAGCATCTGGAACAACCAGAGTGCACGCCAGCCACTGGACCACTATCCTGGGGACGCTAGGCTTAAGGGGCAACCCACTTGTTGTTGCATCGCCATGTGGCCTGAGTCGGGATGGTCCACACTAGGCCGGGGGAGACAGAAGGACAGCCGGAGCAGGTAGGCACCAAGAGAATTTGGGTGGCTGCTGAAAGCAACCTGTCTTTCATTATCATTCTTAGTGCTGATGAGTTGCATGTCAGTATTGACTTAGATGGAATGTTCCTGCAGATTTTGGCAGCATCCCCCAATCAACCCTACTCTTGGAATACCAAATGATAAAGAATATAGCCCCACATCTTCTCCTCCAATAGACTGCCCACAATTACAATGTTATTTGACTTGTAAGGCAATGAATGAAACTTCTACCATGAGATCATAAATCCAGAGCAGGCAAGGCCTTACCTCTATTATTGCTCAACAATTTAGAGCCAATAATCCCTCCAAAAAATGTGTGCTGGGTACTAAGGTCAATAAATATTTAACAAAAGTATAAATGCGAATTGGTTTCCTATCGTTAGTAAGTGACACAAGTTAATTTCCCTTTTTCCTTCCTCCCCAGCCTAAGCACAAAAGAATATCATGACATTTATTTACTTTAAACCACACGTAGTAATAACTTTCAGACATCTAACTATCTGAAAATTTAAAACAAAATGGAAATGACCTCGTAAGTCTTTATCATTCTAAGGTGTCTAGCGCAGGACATGGAATGGGGACTTCTTTCCTGATATCTCTTCTCTTTTCTTAGCCTCGGGCACTGGGTAAGTAAACCCAGCCGGGCACCTCAGCCTCGTTTTCCCTCTCACACCAACATTGCACCTGCTACGCAGGATGCTTGGCCCACCTTTGAGCTCACCTACAGCCTCAGAGGAGCAAGGGAAGGCCGGGCGTCTTGGAGGGCACTTAGGGTTACCTAAGAGCCAGCGTGGAGGGCAACTAATGACCTAATGACCAAGGGTAAAACAAAAAGTTAGACAAAGAGGAAAGTGTTTCTAAAGAGAATTTAAAGAATTCATTATGCCTTGGGAACAAAATGAATTAGGATACAACAAATTACAAACAAATTCTTATGATAAAAAAAACTATGGGTAGACTTTAAGTAGCATTTTTTTAAATTTTTGATTCTTTTTTTTATTATTGGTTGTTCAAAACATTACAAAGCTCTTGACATATCATATTTCATACATTTGATTCAAGCAGATTATGAACTCCCATTTTTACCCCGTATACATATTGCAGATTCACATCGGTTCCACATCCACTTTTTTACATACTGCCATGCTAGTGTCTGTTGTATTCTGCTATCTTTCCTATCCTCTACTATCCCCCCTCCCCTCCCCTCCCCTCTCCTCCCATCTTCTCTCTCTACCCCATCTACTGTAATTCATTTCTCTCTCTTGTTTTTTTCCCCTTTCCCCTTACTTCCTCTTATATGTAATTTTGAATAACAATGAGGGTCTCCTTCCTTTACCATGAAATTTCCCTTCTCTCTCTCTTTCCCTCCCCCCTCTCGACCCTGTTTAATGGTGATCTTCTCCTCATGCTCTTCCTCCCTATTCTGTTCTTAGTTGCTCTCCTTATATCAAAGATGACATTTGGCATTTGTTTTTTTAGGGATTGGCTAGCTTCACTTAGCATAATCTGCTCTAGTGTCATCCATTTCCCTGCAAATTCCATGATTTTGTCATTTTTTAGTGCAGAGTAATACTCCATTGTGTATAAATGCCACATTTTTTTATCCATTCATCTATTGAAGGGCATCTAGGTTGGTTCCACAGTCTAGCTATTGTGAATTGTGCTGCTATGAACATCGATGTAGCAGTGTCCCTGTAGTACGCTCTTTTAAGGTCTTCAGGGAATAGTCCAAGAAGGGCAATAGCTGGGTCAAATGGTGGTTCCATTCCCAGCTTTCCCAGGAATCTCCATACTGCTTTCCAAATTGGCTGCACCCATTTGCAGTCCCACCAGCAATGTACAAGTGTACCCTTTTCCCCACATCCTCGCCAGCACTTGTTGTTGCTTGACTTCATAATGGCTGCCAATCTTACTGGAGTGAGATGGTATCTTAGGGTGGTTTTGATTTGCATTTCTCTGACTGCTAGAGATGGTGAGCATTTTTTCATGTACTTGTTGATTGATTGTACGTCCTCCTCTGAGAAGTGTCTGTTCAGGTCCTTGGCCCATTTGTTGATTGGGTTATGTGTTATCTTATTGTTTAATTTTTTGAGTTCTTTGTATACTCTGGATATTAGGGCTCTATCTGAAGTGTGAGGAGTAAAGATTTGTTCCCAGGATGTAGGCTCCCTATTTACCTCTCTTATTGTTTCTCTTGCTGAGAAAAAACTTTTTAGTTTAAGTAAGTCCCATTTGTTGATTCTTGTTATTAACTCTTGTGCTATGGGTGTCCTATTAAGGAATTTGGAGGCCGACCCCACAGTATGTAGATCGGAGCCAACTTTTTCTTCTATCAGACATTTATATACTTTGAAACCTTTAAATGTCCAAAACAAACGCTAGAGCTGCACATTTTCCTATAGTTATTATCTAGCCTGTTCAATGTTCCGTGTAGTTCATGGCTCTGTGAAAATTAAATGTAATTAGTTTGTGGAAACTGAACAAAAGCCTAAATTCAAAGCACATTTTAAAAATCAAATTCATTAATTTGGGTCACGTACTCATGACCCCCATCCTGTCCTCTTTTCCGAATTTTGTACTTCTTCTCTGTGATTAAACCTAGAACTATGTTCAGATGAGACCACAGTATCATGAGAAATAGTTTGATCTGCTGGCCAACAGGCCTTCCCACCTTCTCTAAGCCTCTCGTCTCCCCCACCCACATCCTAACCCCAACCCAGCCCCACCCACACTAGAACACAGGCGCCCCTTCCAGCTCACCTTAGCAGAGGCCCAAGGCTGAGGATCACGGGGCAAGAGCTTGCTTTTGACTTTCCAAACCAAGTCAAACCAAAAGCCAAGACTTAAGAAGAAAAGAGACTTGAAAGAGTACTAGAACACAACCTCAGGGACATGTTTTTAACTCCTAGACTTTAGATAAAATTCCCAGATGGGAGGATGGTAGGAAGAATAGAAAAAAATGAAGAAGAAAAACAGAGAAAAATGTGTGAGAAGGTCCCTCCCTGTACCGTGTCCTCTTTCTCAGAGCCCATTTGAGATGAGGAGAATACTGGAATTCCCAGATTGGTTTAGAAGTCCAAAAGCACAGAATTGTATTCTCCAGCCAGAGAGCATTCTAGGAAACTGACTAGTTCTGCATATTTATGGGAAGGATTTCCTGTACACCCTGGAGGAATGAAGAAGTTTCAAGGGGCTTTTCATAGCCCAGGAGAGTTCAGGGTTTCCCAGGTCCCAGCCCAGTGACGGAAAGCAGCCAAACCTTGGCAGGCCCTCACAGGTGGATGGCAACCGTAGGGAGAGAGCTGGGACTGGAACTCAGTGGGATACAAAGGACACAGCCCCAGCTCCCTGGGTGGGTTGAAGTCTAGGGAGCAGGCAGAAATACAGCTCAGCCGCTGCCAGCCCCTGGTGATGGTAACCAAGAATGGCAGCTCCCAACCCCTGCACGGTCCCACAGAAGGTCTTCAACACAAAAGCCACTCAGAGGAAAGGGCTCAGGGAAACTAACTGGACTGCAGTTTGCTTTTTCTACCCAAAGATATAGGCACAAAGTAGGAGTTAATTTAGTGCATGGAAAATTAAAAGATATTATTTCTTACATCTTAGAGCTTTTGGGAACTTGATTTCAAACCCTTAAAGGATGATGTGAGGCAATTCCTGTCTCATTTTTTCCAACTCTTGTCTGTATGAGGTACAAGACTTGATTTTGGCTTTACTATGGTGAATTATGATAATAGCTAATAAAAAATTCTAAGACAACACCAACCTAAAAAAGCTAAAAGAGACTGATGTTAAAGGGACACACCATGGTGCCATATGATCATCATGCTCTGTTTGCTGAGACTTAAGACAATTTCATATGAATGTACACATAGGTACCGTGGTGTCCTGCTATCTATCCTTCACAAAATTAAACTATGTCATTTGATTGATATATATTTTAATATATTATCAACATTTACCATATCACACACATATTAGTGACTTCATTTAAAAACACCTCTTTATGCACAGTGTTTTTTAAGGCACATAAAGGTTTTCAACACACTGTACTTCTACTCCTGTGGTGGGTCATATTCTATGGCATTACACTGACATTCCTTATCATGGAGGACCATGTTCTGCCTGAACAAAGCTGAAGGAATAATAACTCTTAGAAACATCTTCCAAGTGGGCACCGAGAAACAACTAGAGAGACGTATGCTTCAGTGTTCTGTCACACTGGAGCATGATTATAGATTATTAGAGATAATGCACAGCATATTTCAAAAAACCTAGATGAAAGGATTCTGAATGTTTCCAGCACAAATATAAGGATAAATGTTTGAGAAGGTAGATGTTTACCCTGATTTGAACAGTACATAAGGTATGCATGAATTGAAACATCACATGCTGCCTCTTAAATAGGGACATTTATTATATGCCAATTGAAAAACAAATATTCTTTGCAGAGGAATATCTTCCACACTCACGGAAACAGTTCCCTAGTAATTGGTGGATTTCAGTGTTTCCCGGAGCGTGTGTCTTGGTGCCACTGTTCAGATCCCCTGAATTTATTGTTGCAAAGTGGATCCCAGGCGCTCTCCTGAATCAGCAGAGATGGACGGAGGGTAAGAACTGAGTGTGGAAACCCCAAACCTGCTCAGCCCCTGCAGCCCCAGGACACCTTCTGGGGCCTGGGGGAACCTTGCCACCTGGCACGTGGCTCCCCAGCGCAGCAGAGGCCCGTTCAAAGCAGCAGTTTCCTTGCTGTGAAAAGCATCTGAGTTTCACTGGGGTGAATTCGCCCGCTGGGATTCTGCCCCGTGGGGTGAGCCGCAGAGTTGATGGGCAGCCAAGGGAGCAGACTGCAGCCCGGATCCCGCTGAATCAGCCGCAGCCTGAGCGCAAAGCTGGGCGAAGGGCCCCCTCAGATTTACGGCCGGCTCCGCCTGTCCCCCCAGGCATACGCCCGGGCAGTGTGTGTTTGTGAAGGGCCGAGGCGCGGTGTGCCACGCATCACGAATGATATACTGCACAGTTCCCCAGGATACTTGAAATATGCCCACTTTGTCCCATCTGGATGGTGTTATTTATTTTTTTCTCTCATCGTGATTAGCATTTTGGCAGTTTTCACTCTTGCATTCGGCTGTTCCACATGCCCAGGGGAGACGGAGAGGCGCGCCTTCCAAAACCAGGGCAGCGCTGCGCCCAGAAAATCTGCAGCTGAGCGCGCGCTTTCTTTATGGCAGATTCTCCACACTCGGGAGGAAGCAGAGGTCGCCAATATGACCAGTGGGTAGGGGGCCGCCGGAGACCAAGGCCGGGTGACCGCGGAGCGTGGAAATGCTCTTACCAGATGGCCCTCGGAGGCAGGCCAGCGGCGTCCCCAGGACCAGCTGAGCCTGTGGATTCTCCACGATGTTCATTTGACACCTTGTTAATTTACGCTGCCACAAAAACAAAACAAAACCAAAGTCACTTGAGTCACTTGTGTGCATTCACGTGGCTTAAAATAATGCTGGTACAGCCCCGAGGTCTGTTTCTCATTTGGGGTGAGCTTGGGGTGGGACACAGAAACAAAACAGTCCCGAGGGCAAAGGTCTTCTTCCCACTTGCTCTGGCTTTGGCGGCTAAAGAAAATGGTCTGCGGCTCCTTTTAGCTGTTTCAACAATGATGACCTGCAATTTGTATTTTCAAGTTAGCCCTTGCACTCAAATTGAAAATAGCTTGCTCTTTCATTCCACCCAGCCTAGTTCTACCCACGTTTTTATTCATATTTACAGACTAAGCTGTCATTGTAGAGTCACTTTAAATATGTAGAATTAAAAAATCAGAAACAAATTTATGATACATAAGCATTGTTTAACAGACAAAGAGAGAATGCAAAGAAATAACCTTTAGGAGTGTTGATTAAGAATTGATGTATCACAGGGCTGCGGTTGTGGCTCAGTGGCAGAGCACTTGCCTAGCATGTGTGAGGCACTGGGTTTGATCCTCAGCACCACACAAAAATATATACATACATAAAGGAATTCTGTCCATTTACAATTAAAAAAAAAAAAGAATTAATGGATCAGGAGCCAGGAGTGTTGGCACACACCTGTGATCCTAGACACCCCATAGGTTGAGACAGCAGAATCCCAAGTTCAAGGCCAACCTCAGCAACTTAGTGAGACCCTGACTCAGTATAAAAAATAAAATGGGCTGGGAATGTAGCTCCGTGGTAGTGTCCCTGGGTTCAATCTCCAGTACCAAAAAAAAAGTTAATGTACTAGATTATTATTATTAGATCGTAGTTCCTCAAGTGCTTTTAATGTTACATATAACATAAAACTTAGTAAATGTACTACATATCTTTAAAGATGCTGCTACCACATCAAATGATGAAATAAAGCATTTTATTCAAAACAAAATCCAAAATTTTAAGTGAAAACTTAAAATCTTGTTCTGATGATTATATCATTTCCACAATTACTAAATCTAATATTGATACAAATTACTCTGCCTACAGTATGTGTGAGGCACTGGGTTTGATCATCTGCCTATAGCCAACTATTTTTCTATCTATATCTACATCTATCTCTCTAGTATAAACTTTATAATATATTGCCAATTAACATATTAGTTCACAATACGAGTTCTCCCTTCCCATTCTCTGCCTTTGCAGAGACACTGCTAATTTAATTTACCTCCACAATGACATGAGCTTCAGCTTCAGAGGCAGGAGCTAGATACAAACTCACAGCTGCCTTTCTTCCTCTATCCCCTCCACCCAAGTCCTTTGGAGATCAATATCTGTCATACCTAAAACATGGAGTGTTGTAACTCTCTCCTGGAAAGCTCATCACAAGTCCACACACTTACTTGCTCTCTTCCCATTCATTCTGGTTCAGCACGCCCAAAGGGGGTCCAGAACCTGCATATTACATGACCTCCCGGTGGCCTGGGGTGTAGATGGTCCTGAAATCACACTGTGAGAAACAGTGATCTTATAATCCGAGTATGTCACAGGTTTAATCCTAGTGGAGTCATTTCTGCAGAAATGAGAGTTAGGAACCTGTGTCCTGATCCTCTGGCCAAAATGGGCACCTGCTGTGGTTGAGCATGGTAGCTGCTCAACCTTGACACCAGGGCACAGGGTGTCTGAGTAAGGATACTTCCTGGCACACTCACTCCATCGTGTCCACCTCTCCTCTCACTCTTCCTTGTTAACCTCTCCCTGAATCCCATATGGACTGGCTCACCCAGCCGTCCACCCCTAGGCAGTAGGACTCCAGGAGCTGGTCACTTCAACAAGGATCTCACTCTCTTGTTGAAACAGGTGTCACGGGCCAGGTTAAAGATGACTGAATTTCAAATGCATTTGGCTTATGAAAGTAGCCAACCCTCAAAACTAAATACTAGATTATTTCATTTATTTGATATTCTGGTGACAGCAAAATGATAGGGGCAGAATGTAGATCACTGGTTGCCAGAGTCTGCAGATGGGGAGAGAAAATTGATCACAAATGTCTGCAAGGGGACTTTTTGGTAGGGTGGAAATGACCTGATCTTATTTTCAAAATAAGAGGGGTGGGGGCCTGACTGTATGTATTTGTCAAAACTCACAGAAATGTGCATCCAAAATAAAGGATGGATTTCATTATATCTTATTTATACATCTAAAAACTGACATCAGAGTAAAATTTAGTTTTGTCAAATAGGGCAAGAGCAAGACCTTTTCACAGGAAAGAGGTGAGCACTCTTCTCCTGGCAAATCCGTTGCAGATAGAGCATGATTTTTAATTGAATTTCTTCCAACTGAAATTCTATAATCTTTAAAACCAGACTTCTCCTGACCTCATAGCAACAGATGATGAATGAGTTGAAAGCAGTTCCCCTTCATAATTTCCACGAGTATGAAATGGGGGGAGGGAATAAAGGTCTTGGTGAAGCATAGAATTTGAAAATTCGAATTACAGTCTTTCTGGTGACTCTAGAATTACTAGTTTCTACCAGAGTGACATGTGTTTTCCTCACAGTTAAATAGGGACATGCACACAAAACAGAAGAAGAGGACTGTGGGGAAATAAAAGGGCAAAAACCTACCACCACCAGTAGCTACCCTGTCTGTTGTTTGACTACCCTGTCTGTTGTTTGAATTCTTTCTTTTTTATTAGTTGTTCAAAACATTACATAGCTCTTGACATATCATATTTCATACATTTGATTCAAGTGGGTTATGAACTCCCATTTTCCCCTTGTCTATGTTGTTTGAATTCTTAAGTCATTGCTAATATCCAACTTATTAAAGTGCCTTAAAAATTAACTCACTGCTTGCTGACCATGCTCTGGCCACCTGTGTGGTCACCCAAGATTACCTGTAATACAAATGATCCAGCAGTGCCATCTAACACTTCATGGAGACTGAGTTAGTTATTACTGGTGATGGAGAGGTCAGAGAAGGAGAGCCGAAACCTGACACAGATGGGCTGGAATGTAGATGGTCCTGAAATCACTGAATTTCAAATGCATTTGGCTTATGAAAGTAGCCAACTCTCAAAACTAAATACTGGATTATTTCATTTATTTGATATTCTGGTGACAGCAAAATGATAGGGGCAGAATGTAGATCACTGGTTGCCAGAGTCTGCAGATGGGGAGAGAAAATTGACATGACACCTGTTTCAACAAGAGAGTGAGATCCTCGTTGAAGTGACCAGCTCCTGGAGTCTTACTGCCTAGGGGTGGACGGGCGGGTGAGCCACTTCATATGGGATTCAGGGAGTGGCTAAAAGCCATGGCATCCTGGCTTTTTCAGTCTTCAGATGAAGTCACTTGGAAAAACCCTGTGGCATGAGTAATGGGCCCTGTGTGACAGGCAAGACTTCCTGTGAACCAAAGCATCTCATGAGAGGAACAAGTGTGTGAAAATGAGCGACCATCAATGCTAATGCAGGTGACATCCAAGACTGTGCAACATAATGATTTTGTGGATGTGAGTAACACCTCTGAGGAATGCGCTAATGTCCAGATGGAGGAGTTGCAGCGGTCCTACCTACTATCATTGGAGTTTCTGAGTAAGGAGGGGTGTCTGAGCTTTGCTGAGGCTTCGCTTAAAATTAAATGTTCACTGTCATTAATTAAAAATGGATTTAAGGAATGAGCAGGTTTTGGATTTATCTGCATGAGCCCTACCATCTGGGTTAGCACCATTGCATTTTCAAACAGAGAAGAAATACACCATTTATGGTAAACTAAGGAGAACCAGGAAGGAAAATGGCAAGATAGAAAAGGTTTGGTGTGTATAATAGCTGTAATCATCACTCAGGAATCCAACAGTCATTTACAGGGTACTAACTGTGTGTGTAAGGCGCCGACTTAAGCTCTAGAGAAAAAAATAAGAGAGAAAAACCCATGTTTTCTAATATCTCCACAAGCAGTTGAAGATTAAACACTAGATACGTAAGTTATGAAAACAATAGCTCCAATCCAACAAATGATCCATTTCACTTAAAACTTCCATAGTCAAAATATCACTGTGCTGGAGAGAATGGAATCAACAGCCCTTCAATTACCCAGAAAGAACCTGGAAAACAGGTCACTGGATTAAAATAAAACCAAACTTCTGAAATTTATGCCACAGACACTTTTAAAGCAAGTTATAACCCATCAATAACAGCTTTTAATTAGAACATACATAAACATGTCCACAGCATTTGTTTTATGAGGAAAAACCTGCAGGATATTGTTGAGATGTGCCTACTACATAAAATTTACAGTATCATAGCAGGCATCTTTACTATGTAGCTTTTTTAACTGTAAGACATGAAATAGTTGAAAAGAAAGCTCACAGAGAGAGTATTACATATCTTCACATCATTCAGTGGAAACCAAATACCAGGTTTGAACACGGTGTCCTGTTTTAGCTGTTATGGATCCATAATCTTCACCAGAAATGTTCAATTTTTATCAATTTTTATCGTGACCAATAAAAGATCCAAAAATTATTTTATATTGCTTTTAGCTTCCCAAACTAATGTGTATAAAACCGAAACCAAAAATTGGTATGTGAGGGGAGGCATCATTTGTGACTGAAAGAAACATAATGCTGTATTTGTGAAGCTGTCGATATGTGGATGGAGACGCTGTTTTGGAGACTTGTTAGCTACAAGAGGAGAACAGGAAGGCTATAGACAATAGGAGTAGAGTTGGGGTTATTTTATCAGCCCAAACTCTGGCTCTTAGAATGTGCTGCTTGAGACTGGATGGGATCAGAGAGGAATCTGACACCAGGGACCTGGCACACATTAGATGTGTAATAAGAATCTGTTGTGCTAAAGTGAAATGGTGTACGTAGAGAATGTCAGATTTACTGTAAACCAAAAATGTCAATCAGACCCAACTGGTTTTCAGGATGAGCCAGAGAAACTGTGTATTCATGCCCAGCAACAGGCTGTATGTAAG